ACCAACAAGCGTGACGGGGTGAGGCAGCGGGGGCGGCCGGCACAGGGAGTCCGGGCGCTCCGGGCACGGCCGTGCCCCCTGCGCCGTCCGCGTCTCCCCCCGGCACCATCCCCGCAGCGTTGGGCCGGCAGGACGTGCAAAACCGGAGGGGCAGTCGGACACCTCTGCCCGTCGTCGGGGTACGCGGCCAGATGTGCCATAGAGGGCAAAGCCCCCTGACCCTGCTCACGTCCCTGCTCCCCACAGCTCTGCCAGTGCCCGCAGCCCCCAGCATCTCCATTCTTGGGGTCCCCATCCCTGGGCAGACTGGCAGCTGGTTCCCCCTCGGAGAGGCAGATCTCTGTGCGGCCAGGGCAGGTGGGGTCCCCCCTCAATACAGTACCTGCCCTCGATGACCGTGATGATGTCGTTCATCTCGATGTGCAGCTTGTCGGGCTCCTCGAAGTCCTGCAGGGCCCTCATGTCGGTGGGCTGGGCCTGGAGGGGAGAGTAGAGGTGAGGACATGGGACGCTGTCCCCCATGTCCCAGACGGGGTGCTGTCTCTAGGTTCCCCCAGCCCAGGCTCACGCTGCCCCCCATGTCCCCTGTTTGGGGGCCAAGTCCCAGCCCTGCGGCCAAGAGAGAGGTGGATGCGGGGCAGGGGAGCCCTGGTAACGGGCATGAGAGAGAGTCACTGCCCCCGGCTGGTGGCCCATACCCCTAAATATTACCTCCCAGCTTGATAATACCCTTAACTCTACCCACGCTCAGGCAGCCCCAATGGGAGGAGGCCCCCAGCGCTGCTGCACCTCTCCCCAGGAATGGTCCCTCGACATCCTCCCTGCCTGCCTACCTCGACCAGGAAGTCCCGCAGGGCCACAAAGGTTGGCCGGTCCTCAGGTTTGTGCGCCCAGCACTGCAGCATGACGTTGTAGACGTCCTGGGGACAGTCTTCAGGCCGCGGCAGCCGCTCCCCCTCCTTGTCTATCTTGTGTAGGATCTGTGGGTCAAGCAGCTCCATCAGCCCTGCCCCACGCAGGGGGGTCCAGGACCCTGCTGCCAAATACAATGGTGATGGTGGCTCCATACCGTGAGCCCAAACGGCCTTCCAAGCCCTTGCTGGGGACCTCATTGGGGCAGGACCTCCTGAGGAGGCAGACCCCGGAGGGCTTGGGAGCAGATGGGGAGCAGCCCAGACTCTGAGGCTTCCCACAACTACCCTCCCCATACAAGGCTTAGTGCCCATCAGGGGGCCCAGGCGATGGCGTCCACCATACTGCCCACCTGGCTGCCATTGAGGCCGATCCAGGGCTCCTGCCCATAGGTGAACATCTCCCAAAGTGTCACTCCAAACATCCAGGTGTCGCTGGCATGGGAGAATGTGCGTGTCTTCAGGCTCTCAGGAGCACACCTGCCCGAGAAGGAGGTGGGTGTCAAGAGGGGCTGGGCATGGCACCCCTGGCTCTCCCCTCAAGGCATTGCAGGCTCTGGGGCAATGCCCACGGGGTGCTGTCTCTAGGTTCCCCCAGCCCAGGCTCACCAGGCAAAGGGCACCTTGCGGTGCTCCTGCATCACGTAGTGGTCGTCATTTTTGGGCAGGGCTCGCATGAGCCCGAAGTCCCCGATCTTGACCTGCTCATTGGAGGCCAACAGGATGTTGCGGGCAGCCAGGTCGCGGTGGATGAAGCGCTTGGACTCCAGGTAGGCCATGCCCTTGGCCACCTGGATGGCATACTGGCACAGCGTGGAGATGAGAAAATGGCCCTGGTTCTTCCGCAGACGGTCCAGGAGGGAGCCCAGCGGGGCCAGCTCCGTCACCTGGGCCACAGGGAGGGGAAGGCAGGTCAGTCAGGCAAAGGGGCACCCAGTTCAGACTGGTTTCCAGCCCCCTCGTGCCCCCTGGTCTGGCAATCCTTGGGGAAGGCCCAGGGTACGGAGCCTGCTTGCCCCACAGCTCAGTTAGCCCTACAGCATGGGATCGCTGCCCCAGGGGGCCAGGCTCAGTGGGCAGGGGCAGTCCCATGGTGTGGCAAGGGCAGTCGTGGCTCAGGTGTATGCAGGGGTTGAGGTCAGTCCCGTTTCCAGGGGTGGGAGCCCAACCAGCCTCCCTGCTGGCATCCTGGACTCACCATCTTCATGGGGTGAGAGAGCACCACGCCGTAGAGCCGGATGAGGTTCTTGTGGTCCAGGGAGTGCATTGCGTTCACCTCGCGGATAAAGTCATCCAGCACCTCTGGCTGGCTCAGCACATCCGTCTTGAGACATTTCACTGCCACGTTGAGCTATGGCCAAAACAGGGATGAGCCACAAAGTGGTACAGACACTTTCCTGGCGGTCTCTCAAAGTGTTTTCCTCCAGGCACCGTCATCCAGACCACAGGCAATCCCATGCCCGCTCTCCCCACCACGAGCAGCACCAGCCCCCGGGGCAGAGGGCTTTGCCGCAGGAACTCGCAGCCCCTTACCGTCTTGCCAGCCGGTGTGCACCACTCGCCGCGGCGCACGACGCCGAAGGAGCCATCACCCAGCTTCTCGAAGAGCAAGAGGTCCCTCTCCCTAATGAGGCAAGTCAGGGAGTTTTGGCTGCTGGCTTCCAGGGGAGGTGGCGTGGGCGGCTTGCGGAAGGTGCTCTGGGGCTGGGGTGGCAGCTCCGATTCGGGGCGCTTCCCGCTGAACACCTGCGAGGCGCAGAGGCATATGACACGCAGATGCACAGACGCCCAGGGCCCCCCAACTCCTCCCACTCATGAGGCAGGGATCGGCAGCAGCAGAGCCTAGCGGTCAGAGCCTGCCTCCGTTTCCGCTCCCTATAATGGCGACAGCCACCTGCACTCATCTGGGGCTGGGCAAACACGGCACGCAGACCAGCCAGCCCATCTGACGCTTTGGTTCTGCAAGTGAGCAGTGCCGGGAGAACTCCCTGCCTAGGCTGTACACTCTGAAACCTAATGATGACCCTCCACCTGGTGCTTCCCCAGGGCAGGCTGGCTGCAGTAGCAGGCTCTGCTTCTCTGCAGGCTGGCTGCACGGTGAGCTGCAACGCAAGATGGACTGAGGGAAGCAGCTGCTTTTGGGTTGTGCCTCTCACAGTGGCACTGTGGAGCACGTGCCCCACATGGATGGCTATGTCGCAGGTCCCCAGAAGCCCTGGCAAACCAGCTCAGTAGCTGGAGGGCCCTGGGCACTTCTTAGCCAGGCTGTAGCCACGAGATGTGCCTGGGCACCAAGCCGGGAGAAACCTCCAGCTTGGGCTGAGTGTGGCGAGACATGCCCATAGCAGCGTGGGCCTTGCAGGGCAGTCTGCTGCTGCCCACGCTGCCTCGCCAGCTTGGAGGGGATGGGCTCTCTGCCTTTTTGTCCCCTCGACCCCCTCCTGGGGTGACTGGCAGGGACCAACCCCGTACTGCATGGCCAGGGAGGCTCTTTCTGCCACAGATCCCCAGCTTGCGGTGATGGTAGCCAGTCCCCACGTGGGGAGTGCGGGGGCCAGGTCAGGCATGCGGCCGGGGTGGGAGGTGGCATTTGTCTGCCCAGCACTAGGCTGAGTCGCCTTCTATTAAAAGCCCATCCTGGCCATGGCCACGGCTCGGCCCAGATGAGTCATGAAAGGGAGAGGCCAGGAGCCAGAGCCCAGCTGGCAAGCGCATGGTTGTTTCGGGGGTGCAAGGTAGAGGTGCCCGGGGTGGCAGCATCATCAGATTTGGATGGGAGAACGAGGAGGAAAACCACTGAGGTGGAATGTCTCAGTGTTGGGGCCCGAGCACATATCTCGGGGTCTCCTGCCTGATGTGCCGCAGCCCAGTGGGCACTTGGCTCCCTCCTCTGCTGCAGGGGCAGGGTCTGTGCTGCCTGGGCACCGCCGGTGGGCAGGGCGCTGGCAGTGCCAGTCCCTGGGGGCCCTGGTGCACAGCACCCTGTGGGCAGGAGAGCAGAGACGCCGCCACGCACTGCCTAGAGAGCTGGCTGGGGTGAGATGTGTGCTCTGTTGCTAATTAGCTTTGAAGGAGTTTCCTGGAAAAGAGGCAAATCATGCAAAGGGAATGAATTTCCTGCCTGCCGAGGTGGCAGGGCTGTCCTTAGCTGAGAAGTTACCCAAGACCCCGCACTGGGCCAGGAAGGGTCACGCAGGAGGCAGGACACATGCTGGGGACTCATGCCCATCTCCCCTGCCAGCTCTGGGGGACAGGGATGGCACTTCACTCCTTCACTCTGGGGCCCCAAGGGACCCGGGGCACAGCGCGGAGGCTGGGGGAGATCTGGGTACCCACAGAAGGCCAAGGGAACCATGGATGGAGGAGGTGGAAGAGGGGGGCATAATCACACAAAAAAATGCTGTGTTTGGGCTGGGGGCCAGAGGATCCCAGCTCCCACCATCTCTTTGCACAGCACCCAGCCCATCCTGCTCCTCCTGCATGCCTCAGTTTCCCTGCCAACCCCCCCTCCCCCTGCCCTGGATGCCCCTCGCCCAGCTGTACCTTGCTCATCCAAGATTTGCGCTTGCACATGGCCTTCCTCCGCTTCACCGCCTCCCAAAGCCGCCGTTGGCCTGCAAGGACACAGGGACCGTCACCAATCCAGGACTGGAGGGAGATCCCATGTCCTCCGCCACCTCTGCCCTGCACCCTCTTGAGATGAAGCGCTCTCCAGCCTCTTGGGCTGCACATTTGCCTGGGTTCTCCCAAGGCTGGTGTGCAGCCAGACAGGGGCATGGGGAGAGGTTTCAGGGGGGACATACATACCGGGGCGGCCCATGCCGATCTTCTCCAGATCCTCATTTTTGACGTACTCGAAGTGGGAGAGGCGGGTGACGTTCAGTTCGTCCCGGATGCGCAGGAAGTACTGTTGCAGCTGCAGTTCGGTGAGCAGGTCGAGCAACCAGTCCGTGCCCTCTTCTGACTGCATGCTACAGCTCAGCTTCTGCAAGGATACCGCACCGGGTTAGCGAGGACACTGGCCTCCAGTGCCCCCAAGGGCCTGGCCCTGTGCTGCAGGGGAGAGACGCCCACGGCCGAGCGGGGCTGGGAGCCAAGACTGGTCCCTGCACACTCATGGGGAGAGGCACTGCCCAGGAGGGAGCTGGGGGTGCAAGGGATGTGAGCGGGACTCATCTGCTGCAGAGCACGGTCCCAGCATCCCAGGGGGCCCAGGGGAGACGTGGGGTCTTCCCCCTCACCAGCGAGACCCATGGAGAAGAGCAAGGAGCCCAGCTCTGCCCACAGCCCCGTTAAAAGACCAGCCTATCCTGCCTGCTCCAGGCCCCGGGCAGCGGTGCCAACGATGGAGAAGAGGGCACCGCATCAGGACAGGCGATGGATGCAGCCGGCAGTCCTCGCAGCCTGGGGACGTTGCCCCAGCCAAGGACGCTCAATGGGCACCCTGCACTTGGCACCATGCATGTGCAGGGGACACCCTGTGCCTGGCACTGTGCCCGCCAGGGGCCTGGCTCCCTTTGCCCAGCTGGGCTCTCCCTGGAGAGCTGGGGGCGGCTGGCAGTGGAGGAGGGACAAACATCTCAGCACTGTCCATGCCCCTTTGCATCCCACAAACCCCGCGTGTGGCCCAGCAGGGCTGGCTGAGATCAGGGTGCAGACCTGCAGCAGGTCCCTTCTGCCATGGGGCGGTGACACCTCGCTGGGGGGCCATGAGGAAGGGCAGACAGGGACACGGAGCGGTGAGGGTGCAGGGAACGAGGGCTCAGGGCCCTGGTGCTGCTGTACGGGGCACCCCACAGCTGCCAGCATCACCCCGCGCCGCACCAGACGGGACCAAG